AATACCTAGTAATCTTAATGTCAAGATACAAAAAAGGTACTAAAGTATTTATCATGTTGAATACTAAATATTAATCAGTATTTGATTACCTGGTTATATAAACATTTAAATATAGGTCACACCCACACAGACATACACGTACACACACACACACAAACACACTCCTCTGTTGTGTCTTTAACTCACACATTACTGCATATGTATGGGCTAATTAAAGGTGCATTTTAAAAAATGTCGAAGCCATATGAGAAAGTTTGAATTATATATAGAAAATGTTACAATATCGTCTAATGGAGTATCCATTTATGATAACGTCCAATGGTAGTATCCATTTTAAGCTCTGACTTTGAGAAGGAAATAAATTTCCCCTAAAGAGAGAACTTTCAAATTAGTCTTCTTTCATCATAGCTTATGGAATGCTGATCTTGGCAGAGGGAAAGCAAAGAGAGACATAAGATGTTGAACAGCCAGGTTTGAAAGTTAGAAATTTGCAGTTGTGTATAGTGACTTATATTCAAGTAATAATGCAAGAAGCTGAGGTTTTTATGAAGCATAGTAAAGGGACCATTTGGTAAATCTCCATGCTTAACACCCTGGTTTTGACCAAATTAATATGTCAAAACTGAGAACTTTAGAGTCATAGAAATTAACAACCTGAAATAAGAAATAAAAATCTTGGTGTAAGGCAACAATATTTTAGAATGCTAAACAGAGATCTGGATTGATCAAAAAAATTAATGCAAACAAAACTTTGTTAGCCAAGAGAACATAGAAATGTATTTTAGGACTCATGGTATAGTACTCATAATTAGTGTATGTAAGCCTTTATGATAAAAAAAGTACATTGCTCTCATTAGGGAGATATGATCAATATTTTCAATAAGTCTTTTCATTGATTTTATAACATCCAATATGAAACAAGCCACTTGGTATTGTTAAGTACCTCAAACTGTGCAGATTCTCTTGATAACCAAAGTTTCTGATTCCCAGTTAAAAAAAAATTTGTCAAACAAATAAATGTGTTAACATATTTTCTTCAGAATTCTGTCATTGAGCGCTTACTCCTCCGTAAGTGTCACATATATGCTTAATTTTCATAAATGTAGGGTCATCAAGGCATTTATATAATAATATGATTTCATCAGATGTTTCAGGGCAAATTTGACTAACTGAAAACTAAAAAAATTTGATGTTTTTCTATATCACAACATCTTCTTTAAAATAAGAAAACTGACCTTTTTTTTTTTTTTTTCAAATTTAACAAAGGTTGTAAAGCTGAAAATTCTGATATTCTAAAATATGGGGAAATTCCAGATTTTCAAATATTTTGTGTCCTAAGATTCTGCTTCCTCTAGCAATAAAATAAGAGAAAGAATATATTTCAATAGTGTTTGAATCTTTTGAGAATTTTATAGTTTTTGAAATATTAAACTATGTTTTTTTAATTTAATTTATGCATTTGCCATATAAGCTCCTGGAAATCATTGTGAAGAAGACTCATTAAGATTTCTCTGTGACAAATTTTAAACTTAATGTTTGGAGAAATAGAGATTGAATTTATCTCTGAGGTTTATTTTTTCTTATTATTGAGAATATTCATATTGGTCTCAAAACAGGCATTTTATTTGCATATATAATACATGTAAACCTCACTCTTAAGTTCTTATAATTTGTTAAATTAAAAAAAAATTCCTAAAATGTTTTTACATGACAGTAACAGAATATACTTGTGGCATTTTTCTTTTGCTTTAAAATCTGACATCAATTTCTCAGTGTTACATGAAGTAATACATTCTCCATTTAAATTAATAAAAAATTTTGAGCCTATACAAGGAAAAATTAATCACTTGAAAAAGACATAATGTATTGCTACCCTGTCTATACAGGAACAAAAAAGAAGTTATTCTGAAAAAGAATTGATTTTGATGAAAAACTTAAGCTCCTTAACAAAGTGATTCTGTATGAAATAATTCAATAATGGAACAAGATGAAAAAGAAAGAGCCTCTGAGGCCTCTGAGAGGGAGTCAAGAGGCCTGATTTGGCCTGAGTCCCTGCTCTCCCTCACTGAGTGATCATAGGTAGCTCAGAATTCATATTTATGATCCTTTTTATTATTGTGTCATTTATGAAAAGTGATGCTGACACTCTTACAAGCATATTCCTTTAAAATAAATATCTTTTAAAGGAATTAAAGCTCAGTGTCTAATATAAAATACATGTAATTAAAAAGAGAGAAGATAACTTACATAAAATTGAATAATACAGTCAGAAATTATAATACTTATAATAATTGTTTTTTATTGTTAGAAGGGCCTGGGTGCGGTGGCTCGTGTCTGTAATCCCAGCACTTTGGGAGGCTGAGGTGGGAGGATTGCTTGAGGCCAGGAGTTCAAGAGCAGCCTGGTCAACATGGTGAAACCACGTCTCTACTAAAAATACAAAAATTAGCCAGGCGTGGTGGCGCACGCCTGTAATCCCAGCCACTCAGCAGACCGAGGCACAAGAATTGCTTGAACTCAGGAGGTGGAGGTTGCAGTAAGCAGAGACCGTGCTGCTGCACTCCAGCTTGGGCCACAGAGCAACATTCTGTCTCAAAGAAAAAAGAAAAGAAAAAAAAATCTACATGCTAATTTGACTAACCTTAGAATGTCAATAGTTGTCCTAAAAAAAAAAAAATTATTAGAAGGGACCCTTATATTTTAAAAGTGCAATTGTCATGTGTAAGGGAAATGGCTATGCTTTAGTCAGGAGAAGGCTGAGGGGGCGTTCTATGGCAGCATAACTCAGCAGGTTTGGAGCGCAGGCACCACAACTCCCCACGTGATGTAACCGTGCTGTGTGAGGCACATTAGGTAACCACACCAAATGAGGAGCATTAGGTAATCATCAACATGAGCTTGTGCTCAGCCCAGAGTCACTATGGTCTATAAAAGGTATAATTACTCTGCTAATGATTTACATATGGCATGCTTGCGCCCGTGGCTTTGCCTGCACCCAGGCTCACTTGTGCCTGGAGAGTAAAAGCCATGTTGAAACTGTCTACGATTCCTCAAGTGTTTTTCCACCTACCCACCACTGGCCCACCGACTCCTCTCAGACCTCAGTTAGAACCTGACAATTGGTGACATGAACAGAATCCCAAGCTGTGCTGCTCGGATGGGCTCTGGTGGAAACCTGAGTGGTGGTTAATGGGTCCTGCGTGAGCATGGAGAAGGCACTGATGCAGTTGGAAGCACAGAGCACTGAGAAGGAGCGAGACTTTGTCGGCAGAGTTGGATGGGTGTTTTTGACTGCACTACGAGAAGTATACACTCAGTCCCTGAGGGATGCAGCCCAGGTAAGGACCCTTCAGGCACAGGTGGAACGCTTGGAGACCTGGCTACAGAACGTGGAAAAGGAATTAGAGGATGCAGTGAATGCAGGCCTGGGTCTGCCATCTCGGCCTGAGACTCCCACTCAGTCTGAGACTGAGGAGGATGAACCCCCGTTGTAGGCTGGCCCTGTGGTCCATCAGAAAGTAGATCATGAACAGCCGTTGGGACCCAATAGCAGGCTCAGGGACTCCCCCACCATAATGCAACACACTTTATATACTGCCCATACCCCAACTGAGTTGTAGGAATTAGGCAAACAGTGACGCCAGCATCCAGGGGAAACTCTGTCCGCCTGGATGCTTCATCTGTGGGACAAGGGGGCAGATAATATATCCTATTCCGCCTCTGAGATGGAAAAGCTGACCTCTATCATGACTCACTCATCCCTTCATCAGCGGCTGCAAGAGAGTAGGTGGTTGACACAAGGGCAAGTTGACCACACCCTGACTGAACGGCTGGCTACGGGCAGCCATGTGGACTGAGTGGAATGATGCCGGTGAAATACCAGAAACTGTCAGTAGATGGCAGTCGTATACAGATTTGGTGGAAGTCATTCGGGAGATGGGCTTGCGGCAGGCTGTTTGACCTGAATACCTGGGGCCAGATGATGAACGTTTCACCTTCCACATCAGGGATCTCCTGTTGGGTTCTATGTCCCCAAGTGCCTTCAGTTCCCTAGCTGCTGTCCTCACCCTGTACGTAGGGTGCCGCATGCATGAAGTGACCACTGCTATGGCGGCTCTTGGGGAAGCAGCAGGCGGTCCCTGGGACAGCGCCCTAAAGAAGGAGAAGCCGCTCCACCCACAAGGGACTCCCCCCACAGGAGACAAGGGAGCCCCAGTGAGTGCTCACAGATGTGGATAGATTTGATTTTGGCTGGGGCTGACAGAGAAAATTGATAAGCAGCCCAATGAAGGACTTCTCTAACTTTGTGGAGACCGTTGTCTCTGGAGCAGCAATTCCAGAAACTGCCGAATGGGGAGAAAGACGTTGCTGCGCGACCTAGTCCCGCCCAAGTGCTTCAGCTCAAAGACTACTTGTAGCCAGATGGAAATGTTTTTTCTGTTTGATGAGGGAACTGGCCGAGGTGCCTGGCTTGGGAGAACACCAGACAACCAAAGGCCACATGTGGAATTAGCAATCCACTGGGCCCCCACCAATGTACAGCGGCAGGTGCTGGTGCAGGTGGATATTGGAGAAGATTGTAGCCTTGTTTACGGGAACTCGAATAAGTTTCTGGGCAAGGTTGCATAATCAGTTATGAAGGCCAGTCAGTGAACGTGAAACCTGTATCTCTGCACCTAGGCATTGGCTGCTTGGCTCCCCACTTATGCACTGTGTATGTCTCTACCATACCTGAATACATCCTGGGAGTGGATATTTTGCATGGCTTGGCAGCTGTGCTGTCTATCATGGACTTGATGGACCGCTTGACAGAACCGGGGCAGTACCACTGTGTGGTGGACTTGGCTAATGCATTATTTTTCTAGAGAGCCAGGAACAGTTTGCCTTCATGGGAGGGCAACAATGGACTTTCACAGTGTTGCTGCAGGGCTATGTGCATAGCCCCACCATACGTCATGGTGTTGTTAATGATATTATGTTAACCTCTGATTCTCTTGCAGATTCAGAAGTGGCAACGCTCCCCTTGCCTAGAATTAAGATGATGCAGCTGAGACCACCTTCCTAGCAGCCAAATGGGCTATTCGGTAGGTACAAACCCTACAGATAGTTGATCAGGGGCTCTCATTTGAGCTAGATGTGCATGTGAACACAGGTGGTTTTGGCTGGGGCCCGTGGCAGTGCATGGAGCTCTTGAGAACACCAGTAGGTTTTTGGTCCCAACTATGGGAGGGAGCTGAGCTCTGGTTCTTTGACAGAGACAGCTAGCAGCTGCATATGTCACCCTTCAGACTCATGAAAGTGTGCAGGATGGACTACAGTTGTCATGCGGATGACTTACCCAATAGCAGGATGGGTGCATTCATGGATAATGACCTCTGGACTAGGATGGTGCAGACATCCACTTTAGCAAAGTGGGGGTACCTACTTGGAGTAGCAGAGCACTCTGAGTCCAAGTCCCTTAGCAACAGAGTTGTAAGAGGTCTTGGGACCTGTAGTCCTAATGCAAGATAAGGCCATGGGGCTTGACGCACCCCTAGACCCTGAGCCTTCACTTTTTAAGGAAGGGTGCCCCCCATTCCCAATGGGGCATTGTACACAGATGGGTCTAGCAGAGGTGCTCCTGCTGCCTGGACTGCTGTCTCAGTCCTGCCTAGTACTGACTCCGTATGGTTTGATACCAGGTATGAACAAAATAGTCAATGGGCTGAGCCCAAAGTACTGTGGATGGTGATCACCAAGGAGGTGACAGCTATGGTAATCTGTACCAATAGTTGGGCAGTCTATCGAAGCTCAACCTTGTGGTTAACTACCTGGAAGTTACAGAATTAGCTAGTTGGTGACCGGCCCATGTAGGGCAAAGCCATGTGACAAGACCTATAGGAGGAAGGATGACCTCGTCCGACCAGGTATGGGGACAAACGGTAACCTGCTGTTGCCTGTCCCAACACTCTTGAAGGCAGGGGAAGAGAAAACCTGGCTGTGGCCATAGACCCTTCCAGCACCCACTTCCAGCAACCCCTTGCTGGTGGTTGGCTATTGTAGCTCCCTTGGGGGACGGCCTACAGTATGACTTGCATGTCATTCCTTGGGTGTTCAATACATGGTCCCCACAGTTGACTGTTCGTAGGGGAACAGTCAGGAAAGGAACCCTCCTCTGGGGGACATATATACTGTCTGTGTGGCCTGTTGTCAGCTTCCCCCATGATTTGGCATGAATGCAGGATTCAGGGGAACCATGAGGAGCTGAGGTGTGGCACCTTCGCCCAGTGCAAAAGCCCTTGGTGGCTGTGCGTTAGTCAGGAATCGGCCAAGGGGGACTTCGGGGACAGCATGACTCAGTGGGTTTGGAGCACAGGTGCACAACTCCGCAAGTTACATAACCATGTCACGGCATTAGGTGATCATCCATGTGAGCTTGGCTCAGAGCCACTATTGTCTGTAAAAGGTATAAATACCCTGCTAATGCTGTACATACAGCTTGCTCACACCCACAGCTTGCCTGTGCCCAAGGCACTTATGCCCAGAGAGAGAGTAAAAGCCATATCGAAACTGTCCACGATTCCTTCAGTGTTTTTCCAGCTACTGCATACTCACCCACCAACTCTTCTCGAATCTCAGTTAGAACCTGATATCATGACTACAAAAGACACAATATTAAAAACAAACAAACAAAATCTCTCTCAACTACTGAGTCAAAAAGACAAAGTAGAACACAGTAATACACACTGATAAACAAAAAGTTACAACTATGAAAGATGGATAGGTAGAAGACAGGTGGACAGATTCATACACATGCAAATTTAGAGAGAGACAAATATAAATAAAAGCCACCAGGAAATACAAATGTAATACAGTCAATGTTATAGGAGGCTATCACAGATCAATAAAAAATTAAAGCATAAATATAGCTTTAAAAGTGTATATTTTAAAGAACAACAAGATAAGAATCAGATATTTGGCTATATTTAAAATGTCTAGAAGTAGAACAAAGTGCCAAAAGAAAACAGAAACCATCTGCTGCTTCTGACCTGTTTCTTTCCTCCTACCTGCCATGGACACAGCTCAGTTTTGAACAGTTTTTTTTTCTTTTTGTGCTTTCTTTGCCCCTGAGAAAACCTAGAACTCCCTGGAGAGCTCCAGTCACCAGAGGACAAAACTTCCCTATTTCGCTTAGCTTTGCTTTCTTTTTATTCACAGTTGAACGCGAAGTCATTGAGTACATTTAAAACAAATAGAATCCCTCTACATTTTACATAAATAGAGAAACAGGCTTTCTTGGAAGTATTGTTGCCAAGACAGCGGCAACCCAGAGACAGGGGTTTAGCTTCTGGGTGGGGGTGGGATCAGGAATCTATGTTAGCTGTGTCCTGAATACTTGGGAAGATGTCTCAAGAAGACTATCTTGGTCTTCTTGGATAGAAGTCTTCTATATTGGATAGAAGACTATCTTCCATTTTTTGAAAATTGTGCAAAAATAGTGATCTAAGATGGTTAACTCGCAGCTTAGGCTACACAGATTTGAATTTGATCGAGGCTCATTTCTGTAAAACAAAATTAGAGATACACTGCTTCATTTTAACACACCCTTTGCTACCTTCAAGACAGAGAATAATGATGGAGTTAATAGGTTCCTGTTACTTTTTAGTTTGACTTTCTTTAAGAGTTCAAGTTATACTCTGATTCACATAATTTCTGAAATTCCTTGGGGAGTTTGGTGAACCTGAGTTAAATTATTGATTATTTTGTTATTTTACTTCATACTCAATTTCAAAAGTAGGCTTCTACAGCGAAATTACTGGAAATACGATTTGAGTATTAACATCTGCTGGGTTTTAGAAGTTTAGTCGGCCTAATTTACATCCTCTGAGTGTTTAAATGCCTGTTTTAACATATCTCACTTTTATGCGTATTACGTATTTCCTCAAGTATTAAAGTAATATACAATCATGGAATAAAATGGAATAAAATTTGAAAAATAGCAAACACTATGAAGCAAAATCAACTGTAGTCCAATGTAAAAATATAATAGATATATATATGTATATATAATGCCAGGTATAATAAAAAGGTGCATTATAAATAGATAGGACATAAAAGTCAATTAAATTATATCATAGAGAAGTACACTTTGGATCAAGCTTTTAAAAATTGAATCAAATGCTGTGGTTCTCTTTATTTCTTAATAATTAACCAGGCCGGGCGCAGTGGCTCATGCCTGTAATTCCAGCACTTTGGGAGACCCAGGCGGGCAGATCACAAGGTCAGGAGATCAAGACCATCCTGGTTAACACGGTGACACCCCGTCTCTACTAAAAATATAAAAAATTAGCCAGGCCTGGTGGCAGGCTCCTGTAGTCCCAGCTACTCCGGAGGCTGAGGTAGGAGAATGGTGTGAACCCGGGAGGCGGAGCTTGCAGTGAGCCGGAGCTTGCACTACTGCACTCCAGCCTGGGTGACAGCAAGACTCCGTTTCAAAATAATAATAATAATAATAATAATAATAATAAACAACTAGTAGCCTGGATAGTGTGATGAAAACAAGTTTCAGAGCTTCACAAACTTAGATTCAAAAGTTGGAAACGCCAATTTTAAGCTTTCTGCTTCCACTAAAAAATAATTTTTAAAATGAAGATGTTGAAATTGTAAATCAGAAGAAATCTGTTAATAGGATATACTTAAACAACATATTGAATTTAAATATGTCTACTTTAGACCAGGCACGGTAGCTTGCCCCTGGAATCCCAGCACTTTGAGAGCCCAAGGAGGGAGGATTCCTAGAAGACCAGAGTTCAAGGTTACAGTGAGCTGATTGTGACACTGCATTCCAGCCTGGGCAACAGAGAAGACCCTGTCTGTCTCTGGGAGGGGGTTGGGGGGGGGAATAAAGAAAAAAAAGGTCTATATATCTGTTAATTTTAAACCCACTAAAGTATTTAGTAGAGAACCTGGCACATAGTATATTCCCAAATGATAAATATTTTTTATTTCAAAAGCGTATTTACCTCATAACTGTCATATTTGTTCCAAACATTACTTTATTATTTGCAGTTTATTTTTGTACATTGTAATTTTGACATCAAGATGTTTATATTATTATGGAACAAAATCTATTTTTCTTTTTGTATTATTCCCATTTTCTTTTATTCCCCAAATTGAAGTCAGAAAAATAGGTCAGCTATATATTTTTTAAATTGTGTGTCTTAATTTTTTTTTTACAAGGAAAATTATTATGAACAAGGTGAAGAGTAGACAACTGAGTGACTAATTTTCTCAAACGTTACCTAATTGGATAATAACTATAGATTCCATTGCATTCTCTATTTGAATCAAAGAACCCAGATATCTGAGCAAATTCAACCACACAGGAATAGACTAACACTAGATCAATGCTTATTAGGTTTTGCATATTGAATTAGGGCTCCTGATGATAACCTTGACCTTCACACATATCTTCGAAAAGGAGATGTCTATCAGCAGAGAAGCAGATATTAAAGAGAGATAGCAAAGGCTCTTCTTTTACCATGTATTAAACACTCAGCCTTGGTATATCTCTCCTAATTCAGTGATTGGCAAACAGAATCTAAACAAAATGTGAAACATTATGAGTTTTTAAAAAAGAAAAAAAAACCTACGGGAAAGAGGACAAATAATGTAAAAAGTTAGAAGAAGAGTACTTTTCTAAGATTGCCTGTAAGGAAAATAGGTGAAAATGTTAAGAAAAGCAAAGGGAATTAGAAAGAGGGCAAATAATCACAAGAAATGAAAGTTTATAATGACTTCAGAGATGTACAATAAACTGGCTAGAATCAGGAAAATAAAATAAAAATGCCACACTATTTCGTTGTGTACAGAAGAAATAATTGAAAATACAAGAAAAGAGAACATTTCTGAAGTGAAGAAATATTAAATATAAAACTGATAATGTATGGAGGCAGAAAAATTAATTTACTTAAAAAGTATTAAAAATCAGAGTGGTGTGACATTTCTTTTCTGCAATACAAATCACAGGAACCAATAGAATTTTGAATTTAAAAAAATCTCATTCCAGGATAGTGTGCCCCATAAAGTCA